CAAATCTTCCATCTTCAATTTACTCCTATGACCTAGCAAAAGTCCAGTCTGCAAATACGCATGGCACTTTCCTGTATCTGCTTTCTGGATATTTGGCTCATGGTTTGTCTGCATTGCAAACCTTTACTATATGCCCTGACCATTGGATCAGAAATGACCACAATTGTTTAACCTCTAGTGACAACAAAGTATAGGAAGCCAGATCCCCAAGCTATTTATCTTACTTTTGCCATGGTCCACTATGTGTCAGTAGAAGATTCCCATTCCAGGTCATGTCATATAGTAGCTCATCTCTCCCAACATTAGATATTATATCATATTAGTTGTACAGTCTCTGATGGGGATGTCGTCAATGACCTGGCTTGAAACACTGGTGATGCCTGTAATTGATTGGCCTGCCCAGAAAATGGAGTGCGCCATTTCCTGGAGGAGCATGTCAGCCTGGTGTTAACACCAGCCTTTCTGGTTGGCCCTATAATTGATTGGCCTGCCCAGAAAAGGGAATGCCAACCAACTATGCCAACCTTGTCAGCCTGGTGTTAACACCAGCCTGTCTGGTTGGTCCTAACATACAAGAGCATGCAAAATGTGTTGCTGAAGAGCTCTCTGCATGGTCCTAATGCCTGTTCACAGTGTGAGCATGCCTAATGATGTTCTCACATGGTGTTGCCCGAGCACAGTTGCCTAGTGTTCCTGGAAGTGGGATAACAGTGAACAAAATTGGGACAGGACACCACCATTGGGAATATCCTGCCAAAATTGGGAGTGTTAGACGATGTAAGGAATAGCTGATGCCCAACCCGCAGAACTTAAGTAAAAATTAAAGAAAACCCTAAGACTTATTACCGGGCCTTAGAATGGCTGGATTTAATGTATAAAAGAAAAAAACACAAGACAGGATAATGACAAGAACGCAGAAATCACAGACACAATGAACAAGCCAAGGGTCAAGGAATACAGAGATCAGATAGTCAGACGGAAAGCCAAGGTCAAATACACTAGAATCAATACCAGAAACACGCTCTCGGATATCCACAATGGAAACCACAACAGGGCACAGAGAAATGGACAAAAAAAGGTTTATATAGCCTAAGGTGCTCCCTGATTGGCTGCAGGGAAGCATGTGATAGTGGGCGTGTGTGTGTAACACACCCACACGGTCAAAATGGAATGGCACTCTAAGGGTTAAATTACAAACCCTTAAAAGCATCAAAGCTGCAGCAGCCGGCGTCTTTAATGATTGCAGACCCGACCACTGTGTGAGGGGGAGGAGATACTGTCAGGAGCTTAGGAGAGTGATGGGCAGCATTCCCATTACCGCGTAGGAATGCCGTTAGACCAAGATGTGCCCGCCGTGTCCCAGTCGGCTCCCGGGCATGAGCGGACTTGGTGGGCGGCGTGACAGACAGCTTGCAACCTGCTTCTGGGTTACAACTCAACACAGGACACAAGTCCTTAAACCACAGAGAAATGCTAAATGGTAGAAACCTGAGATCTAAAAGAGAAACCAGATGTATAGTAGAATTTCTTCTAATTTGGAAAATCCTTACTGTGTTAAAGCCATAGTAGGATAATGTAAGCCCATCTACTTACATAACAATATATTTAAAACAGGCGCATGCATTTGATATATTTCATTAGCAGGGTATCCAGCTAGATATAGAAAGTATCAATGTATCAATGCAACAACCATCTATACATACCATTATATTGCCTATTTTTATATGTTGCATCAATGATTACGGTACTCACAAGTTAATCATAACTCGCCCATCTCCCATCATTCTAGATCATGAACTAAATTAAATTCCTAAATATTAAATTGTCCATATAGCAAAAGTTCTTGGGATTACAGTCTTATTATTATTTTACTTAATATTTATCATATCTTTAGTTGTCTGTTCTTGAATATATGTCCACTAGGTGTCACCTTTTAACCTAATTCTCTGTTTAAGAGAAGCTAAAGAAGTAAACAAGCGTTTTGTATTTTACATTTATATTAAAGAAAGGATCAAACTTTGGTAAATATTTGGGGAAATGCCATTAAATCCTCCATATCCATCGTATGTATGTATTTAGTCTCTAAATTCCTAGGCTATTTATTAATGTTACTGTCCCTGCAAATTGCATCTACATTTTTATTTAGTAATTAAACGTTATTTCCCTTGGATAATTGTCAAGACACAATACTATGCATCCATAGCGTTCTACAAGAATACCCAGCAAATTTTAATGAAATAGATGACTTGTCTTCTGGCTTGGTGATGTCAGTAATAGGCAATGAGAAAAGAAGGAGAAATTAGAAAATACTGCCTTAGCGATGTACAGAGCTATATAAAATAAAAATCAAACTTTATTAGTTAAAGGTATATTAAAATCAGACAGCCACTAGTGGTGCTTGCACTGACCAAGTAAAACTCAGTCACGTGATGCAGCTCATAGGAAAGCATTTAATGCAATGCTCTTCTATGAGAAACGAGTCCCACCGTGTATCAGATCACAATATTCCTGAGGAGCATTGGAATTGTCCATCACCGGAGGAGGTCATGCATGCTAGTGGGAGGCAGAGAGGCCAGCAGCGCTAAGGCTACTTGGAAAAAAAGGTAAGTAAAACCTCTATTATAAATTTTATGACAAACTGGTGTCACTAAACTACATAGAGGGACAAAATGTTACAGATAAATGTAGATTTCAAGATCGCAACAGGAACAGCCAAGTAAAGATGCAGGTAAATTTATAATCTATTATAGGATAAATCTAAAACATTGCCTGCTTCATTTAATCCATAACAAAGCTGCAGACAGTCAGAGAAACAACAGATATGTTGTTCAGTGAAAATCCAATTCAGTAAATGTGAGTATCCCACAAAGATTGTATCCTTATTAAATACTCAATTTCTTTTGGGAGTGAGGGAGGGGTTGACAGGCTATTGAAGGTCCAAAGGAAACAGCTGATATCAAGGGCTAAACTAGAAAAATATCACTAATACAACATCAATAAAAATAAAATCTTCAATGCGTACCATTACCAGCAATTTTGTGGTATGTTCCCCTTCTCTAACCTCCCTCTTGTTTTTCAACCCCTTCTTTATCTTAAAGAAAACCAATAAAAATCTATTTTAAAAAAGTCTGTTAAAATTCTTAGTCCTGATGAGAAAAAATATGTATGTATATGTATGAGAGTCCAGACAGCAGCGCCGAGCCTGCAGAGACAGCCTACATCTCAGGTAAGTGAGGGATGGGGGGAAAGGCTGCAGGGACACATGGGGACACAGACACTAGGGGACACTGGGAAACACTATCCTTTGGGGTCCTCGGCTTTCCATTGATGGCAGATTGTCAGGCATTATTATGGCCATCAAAACACCTACTTGTTGATATTTTCTCCAACAAGTATCTTTATTCTCTTAAAATTGATTTTCAAAGGGTTGTCAAGATCAACAAACGTTACTTCCCATGGAGCAGAGGCAGGCTTGATTCTGGAGTGGTGAATCCATGGGGTGATCTCAGCAACTTTCATGGTGTACTACTAGGCATGTGATCTCTCCTCCTATTTGGTGGAGATCCCCTTTAAAGCCTAGGACAATCGGTGGTGGTCAACCGTACATGATTTTGAAGAGGAAACAGACCGATGAGTTTTGTGGGAGCGCTCCTAATCTGAAACAAGGCAATGGGGAGCAAGGCATCCCACTTCAGGTTGGTTTCTTGGCACATTTTAGCCAGATGTAGCTTCAGTGTTCGGTTCATTCACTCAACTTTTCCTTAATGTTGAGGCCTATAGGCAATGTGCAGTTTCCATTTAGAATTGAGGCTGGTACTAATTCCTGCAGGCACTTGTGTACAAAAGCTAAGCCATAATCAGATTCAACCGTTATCAGGATTCCATATGTTGGAATTATTTCAGAAAGCAAGAAACGGACCACTTTTTTTCTTTTGTTGTTTCTTCTTTTCTATTTTGGTGGGCGGGGCTTCTACCCAGCCAGAGTAAAAAAATACGATGACAAGGATATAGCAGAATTTACCAAATTCTGACATAACAGTAAAGTCAATGAGCAAATCAGATATAAGTAATGCTCCAAAAGTTTGATTCCCTGGTTGTTGGCTTGGTCCTTGTCAGGGCTATTTTGGCACATTCCATGCATCCTCTGGCCACTGCTTGTGTTACTGTAGACAGGCAATGCTTGCAGCCAGTGACGTGGATACAACCAATCTCCCATCTTCTAATTGGTACCACTTGTTATTCAGGGAATGGCCTGAAAAAACGTTTAGGCGATATTCCCCTTTCAGATGCACAGGCAGCTACTGCAATCCCCAATCTCCTGAACTGCAAACACACAAATTCTCCAACTCCCGAACTGGAACCATATGAATCCTCCAACTCCCGGACAGGAAAAACAATACGAACAGCTTACACTCCTGGCAGTCGCACTGTAACAGCATACAATCCAATTCCCCCCAAGAACGAGATAACACTTCGTTTGAGGATCAAGCAGAACTGATTTACTGGGCTACCTGCCCGGCTTTTATGCAGGTTACCACCTGGTAGACACTCCCCTAGGGGACCAGATGGGAAACTGGGACACAAAGGGTAAAAGGACCAATCACAAGCTTACACATTTAAACAAATCCCACAATGCATTGCAATCCCTCCTCTCTGTCCTGGAGATAATTGGGAAGTAATCCAATTATCTCTGAGGACAGAGGCAAACTCCATTAAGCACATGTTACCAAAAAGACAGAAAAATATACAATGTTGCAAATATTACACAAAACATATGCATTCAACATATCCCCAGATAGCTTAGATCTGAGTGCACATTATTACCGAATGGCGCTCAGATCACATACACATAGTTCAATCGCCATGGAGCCAAAGTCTTTCATACAGTCTTTCAGTATACAAAAGGGCTCCATGGCATAACTACCTGGGGTAACATTGTTCACATAATGAAAGTCCTGAATGAACCGGTGTTCGTTTCTTTGCAGGAGAAGGGAAGTCGGCGGCTCAGCGGTGTTCATGCAAATAAGTGTCCGTTTTGAGTTCCATAGATTTGGAGCTGAACACCGCTGGCCGTTCGGGAGTTTAAATTGGCCGCTGCCACATGTTCAGCAAACGAACAAAGGCCACCCAGCGTTCGTTGATTAAGCTGCGGTTAATTGACGGCACACTCCAGTTCCCAGGTGGTCGATCGGTCAGTAGTTTGTTCGTTAGATTCAATCTACCGAATGACCAGGCAGAAAGGCACAAATAAGGCGGGCGACCAGGCTCTTCCAGTGGTTAGTGGCGAGGTTGGTTCCGCCACAGCCTGGTTCTGTTTTCCAGCCATTTTGTTCAGCAGGGCTATATAGGGGTGACCAGTCAGAGATGGGTACCAGGAACAGCAGGGCAAGGGTTGACTGAGGTACAGAGTCTTTCAAAGCGACATGTTTTGCAGTGCAGTCAGCCAGCCTGTTTCTAATAGTCACAGGGCCCTTCTGGTGAGCTTGGCAATGGATGATGCTAGCTTGGGCAAGAGCCCAGACCCCTTCGAGTAGTGCCAAAATTTCATATAATGCTTGATGTTGTTTCCTCCAGAGTTCAGTAGGCCCAGTTCCCTGTACAGGGCCCCATGGGCATAAGCTGTAAGTCATGCATACTTTTGAGTCAGTGTAGATGTACTACAGCAGGGTGAGGGAAAGGCATAGTACCCCATCCCAAGTCTGAATGGTTGTTAAAGAACTCCCTAATTGAGAATGAGTGCATAAGTAGATCTGGTCCAGAATTTGAGACTTTGGTATGTACTCCCACGTGTCTAGAGCAGCAAACTTATAATTCTTCTGATAGGACTATCTCCTGGTGATCCGAAACCAGTTGTAATTGAACCATCCCCTAGTCCCCTTGGTAATTACCTAAATCTAAAGATGTATGGACTAATTTGTCTGCAAGGTCCACTTGGATAGCGCCCAATAATATGTATTGGATTTGTGACCTTAAGGCCTACTCTGAACTCCTCAGAGATTGGTCTGGAGCCTATGTTCTAGGAACTTTGAAACCTTCCTTCTTCTTGCTTCCCCTAAGGGAGGGCGAGATACTTTGATCCTTTGGTATATGAATAGCTCTTAAGGCAGCAAAGGGCACTGACGATAGGTCAATGGAAGAATAATGAGTGGCCCCCTGAACATGGGCTGAGGATGGAACTTATGGTTATCGTACCCCTATCTATATGTTGAATCGAATAATCAGGTTACAAGCTATAGTTGAAATTGTGACCAATTAAGCTTTTAGCCAAACAGAATACCAGAATGTGGTATGCTATCTATCGGAACCTCCGAGCCTTAGACTACTGTTAGCCACTGAAGGGGGTATATGCGGAAAGTTTAACTTGTCTAATTGTTGCCTTGAGATTAATGATGAAGGGAAAGCCATAAGAGACAATGTTGATAAAATAAGGACATGGAACGGACTAAACCCTAGTGGTTGGTTCACTGGAGGCTTTGATTCATTTGGGGATCTGAAAACTCTAGTGGGAGAGTTCTACTCCTGATGGCACTTTGTATGCTACTCCCATGTTTGATTCTGTTGCTGCTGCGTTCCCTCCATAGTATACTATAGAGAGGAAAACAGCAGCTCATGTCCTTGCCCTTTGGAGGCCTACACCCCTTAATCAAGAAGATACTGTGTAACCTCACTTGCCTAGCACCCAAGACTAGATTGGTATGGTATTTTCGGTTATGATGCATATCAGCCATCTGTATCCTGGTGTTGAAGCATCAAAGTGGGGAATGTGGTAGAAGCTACAGGGTGTTTAAGAAAAGTTCAGTACTCACATGGTTAAAACTACTGTACAACTATCTTGAACCAGTGCACATGTGTGGAATGTCAGGAATGCCCACTATTAGATAACATATGTAAGAGATAAGTTATAGTTTAATAATTGGATGTAACTATAGTTATGTAGGTGTAATTTTCGTATTCTTTGTATACGTATAGAATACGTCATATCTGTTATATATTCTTTGTGTGAAAGCTCATCGGTGTCCAGTGCATCGTGTTACTGATAATGGCACTGGAACATTTGCAGCTGCAAATAAATCAATGTTTGCTTCCTGGAAACCCGTGTCCATTCGCCTATGTACTTCTTAGCCCTGCATTCCTATAACAGCATAGGGTATGTGTTTTCTCATCCTATGAGTTTCCCTCCAGCACCATCTCCATCAGATACATGGCGCTTGGGAGGTATGGTTGTTTCAGTGTTTTTGGTCGATAAGATTTTGTAATTAGGCCCATCATAATTTTCAGCACCAGGCCCACTGGGCTCTTAATCTGGCCCTGTGTAACTGTCCGCTTATTACTTTAAATCCTTGTTTAGTACTGACTGCCACAAGCGGAATCCTTTTTGTCTACCTTTTGTTTCCCTGGGGAATGTTTGATCATCAGACCCCCCTCCTTTTTGGAGGCAAAAAGCTCTCCGTGACTCAGCATTCAGATGCAAAGCAAGCCAGCAGCACCTCGTGGGAAGGCGATTGTTACTGAGATTTTTCTAAAGTTTAAAGTTGCTCCCCTTAGCAAGCGGAGCGAGGTACGCAGTAAAAGTGCATTGTCTATAAAAGTATATATGTTCTTAGGCATAAATTGTGCCCATGCTGTTAGTCAAAAGATATGTTGTAGATAATCCAAATCCTTGTACATATAGTCATGTTTCCTTAGATGTTTAATGTAATTTAGATATGTTTGAAGACAACTGAACTTCACCTTGTAACTCCACATTTGTAAATCTGTTGTAACCCCATTTGGTGATCTCTGTAAACAAATGTATTGTATGTCATTTTACAGTTTTCATGGTGCTTATGGTTCACAGCGTTCAACCCTCCTGCACACTTTAAGGTAAAAGAATAAAAGTACTTCACCCGTCAGAAGCTCTTCTCTCGTTATTTACTCAATGCCAAAAGGGCTGCTACAATATATATGTCTCTTATATCCTTACGAGAAGCAAAAAACCCGAATAATGTATACTGTACTTTTAAATTACATTACCATCTATAGTAAAGAGATGCACAGGGATGCATGTAGAGACAAGAGATATAGAAGAATTTGGGCTGCGCCATACAAGGCTTTTATGAAGTAATAGATTTAGGATATGTTCAGCATTTCTTGTTGTACACTTGGTGGGCTGGTACTTACTTAATTCAGTCATCTGGGATAGAATTACAGGTGTGGATTATTACATTTTATTGAGAGAAAAAAACGGGGCACAAGAGAATACTGAGAACGGACAGCAATAGCCTGAAATAGCCTGGCCTTCGGTGGGTCCCCGCTCAGATCTCAAGCTGGTTTTAGCTCATCTTGTGCCATTACAGAGAGAACATCACTGAAACATATCAGACTGCTCCCACTCACATGGGCAGTCCAGATCCGAAATGCCAGCAAGTTCCCTCTGCACGAGAGATACAGCAACCCCAGATGATCGTTTCAGCCTTGTTAGTCATCATAGCTGATATTTCTCTTTATTACATTTTATTACACCTATGAAAAATACAAAATATGATTTTTGATTTTTTTCAGTATTTGTTATTCATTAGTGAAAGCAAGACAAAAAAACAAACAAACAAAAGTGCTATGTGGGCATGTATTATTAATTTCAGAACATTTTAGAAGCTATTTGACAGCAGCACATTTATTGCTTGTTATGTTTCCTGGTTGCTGGGAAGGTTAAAATGCAAAAATGATTTGTCTAGTGACTCAAATTATCACTTTGTATCAAGAAACCAAAAGCTAATTGACATGTACTTTTATTGAAATTAAGTCAGGATCATTGCTTAGACACTCAAAAAATATGACTACCACGACAACTTTTTTAGCCGTGTCAGCAGCTAATATTGTGCTTTTTTTTATTTAAAAAAATATATATTTTCTTTATTAGTGGTGGTAACCTGTTACAATTTTATAAAACATATCAAGGTACAGAATTATTGTGTTTATTTAGTAACTCTTTAAGTTGTGTCTAACTATTTGTTTCATTGGTGGTCTTTTGCGCCTAAATTTAAGTTCACAAATACAAATAATTACTGTCTAGAATCTAGATGTTTAACCCCTTAAGGACGGCAGGCGTGCCTGGCCACTTACCTGCTCGCCGGCGATCCCACGCCGGCAATTGCAATGGAGGGACTTACCTGGCATCCCAGGGAGTCCCCTGCTGCCAATCTGACCATCCTGGGCCATGTGTTTGCGATGTCCTTGCAAGGACATCACGGTCACATGGACGGAACAGCCATCCATAGCAGTGCCAGCAGGGGGAGTGACTGGAAAAACAGGTAGTCCCCCTGCTGCCTGTAAAAAGTAAAATAAAGGTTAAAAACAGTTTAGAATAAAATAATATATACTTAGATCATATACATATAAATTATATATATATATATATATATATATATATAAAATCCTGTTGTCTCCTTGCACACACACTTCAATATAAATTTCTGCCTGGTGCTGTCAAGCCAATGCCAAAATATACACAAATATAGGGAACAAGAGGCAAGCACTCACGGTCTTTTGATCTCTTTAAAACGATTTTCTTTATTTCATTGGTTAAAACTTGATCGACGTTTCAGCCACACTTCATGGCTTTCATCAGGATCTTTACAGCTCAAAATACATATTACAAATAACACATTTATATAGCAAAACAAATTATACAATTAATGATTAAAACACTTACCACCTGAAGGCTGTACCGCTTCCACGGCGTTCTATCACCATCTCTGCACATGCGTCAATCTACCGCTACCCGGAAGTAGCGTGTTGACGTCACCGTTGCCATGGTTACCCGGTATATTTACCTGGCTCCACAGCAACCCAGCAAGTCATATACTCGCTCTTAATCACTCAGCCTTGAGGATCTAGCTCTTATACAAGTCAGACCTGACATTTAAAATTAAACATATATTATAATGATTAGAGGATTCTTTTCATTTCTAAATCACATTTTTGACTATATTATTTATAGAGGCTATTTATGTATCTGGTTCCTAAGCATAATTTTATGGAGGTGAGACTTTCCCCCATCTCATTATATAGATCTTATTAGATACATTTAAAGTGACAACTACAAATTGTGTGCAATGAATTGCATTACAATAAATTCAAAGGCGGGGGTATAGTTGTTATGGATTACGAAAAATATGCAATAGAAGTAAGGAGACAACTATTGGATGAGAACACCTACAAACTACTTAAGGGTGATC